TTCTTCTGAGAGGCCTCTGGGTGCACTTGAACCTCCACCTCTCAGGTAGCAGCCAAGCATGTTAACCATTTGCACCACCCATGGACTCTCCCACAGGTGAGCCTCAGCCAACCCCCAAGCTTGTGTAACTTCCTAGTCAGAGGCACACTTTCCGCTGGGGAGCCCCGGACAGTGCTTCCTCCTGAGGCCGGTTCCTGGTTCCTTCAGAGCCAGTGTGTCTCCCTGCAGTGGAAACCGGCTGCTGAGCACTCCAAGGGAATGGCAGGGATGACAAGGTGGCCATTCGCAGGCCCTGCTTGCTGTCTGGCACGCCGCACATGGCATCCACCAGCAAGATCCAGTAAGAGTATGGGTCTCCAGATGGTCCTAATCCCAAGGACAGAGTGAAATGCTTCAGGACTCGAGAGAGTTTGTTCTCTTCTGGGCTGACTTTTCATTTAGAAACTGAGGATCAAAATAGGCCAAGCTGTGAAGAACGTTGAGATGGCAAATGTTGTGTGACATATATATTTACCACAATAAAACTAACGGTGGGAAAATAGGTCAGGGTTAAAGAAAAGAAATACACCATGCAGTTCTCCCCCGTTTGTAACTGAGGTGTCTGGTAAGGTTGCCGCCAATGACACCTTCTAGAATAGTACTGTCTTTGCCACAAATAGAGGAACAGGAAGCATGAGGGACAGAGTTCAGACTTGCTCCATTTCACGGGTTGATTTTTGCCATGGTCTGCGTCAGAGTCTTGGGTGTGTAGGAACCACTTGATAGGACTATAGCACTGTGTTGTGAGTAGGGATAGGGGGCGTGGAAAAGCCAGTGGCACAGCGACCCCACTCTGCATCAGAATATGGGCGCCAGTGGTCTTCTGTCCCAGACACGACCCCACTCTGCATCACAAAATGAGCGCCAGTGGTCTTCTGTCCCAGACACCTCTGAGAAAACGATCCCCTTTTTCTGCAGAAAGTTGCATAACCAAAGAACTTAACTCAGTGTTGAAATGTTGTGGAAAAAATGGAAAGGCTTGCTTTCTTAAGAACAAAATTGATGAAAACATAGTCAATAAGCTATGGAAGCCGTTGTTCTAGAAAACAAAAGCATCATGTAGTAACTAAAATTCAGCTTTGGAACTGTTGTTTTCTACAAATCCATGCTCTAAAAAACGCACAAACCCACAACTGGATAAACCTGTGATGGTATTTTGCCAAACAAGGCCTCAGGACGGCCCACTCTGGCCTGAACATCGTTTCTTCTCCACATGAGGGAAGTGACCTCACTGATGCTGACCACCCCCTCTGCCCTCACCTGGGATGAAGTTAGACCCAAAGCACATGGACAGCTTTCGGTGGTATTTCCAGAACACTGGCTGCCCACAGGAACAGAAGGATGCACTGGCGGGTGCAGGCCTGGACTCTGGACACATTGCACAGTCTGACCGCTCTGACCAGCTCTCTGCCGGGATGAGAAGAGGAAGGGGGCAGGACAGACATGTTAGCATCCATCAGCCTGCAAACACTGGAAGGGGACCGAGCTGGTGTGGGTTTTCATATAAGAGTTTTAAAGGGAGCTTGGTGGCGCAGTGCCTAAGGCATTTGACTGCTAACCAGAAGGCTAGCAGTTCAAACCCACCAGCCACTCCTCGAAAGGAAGATTGGGTAATCTACTTCCATGGAGATACCACTTTGGAAACCTAAGGAGGGGTCTTTATGAGTCTAATTGACTCAACATCAATGAATTAGGGTTTTTTGTTTTGTTTTGATTTGTTTTGTTTTGTTTGTTACTGCACACGAAAAGGGAAAAAAAAGAACAAAACGGATGTCAGAAGAGACTGAAACTTGCTCTTGAATAAATGGAAGAAATGATGAAGTAAAAGAGCTGAGCAGATTTCCAAGAGCAGCTCAAGAAGACGAGGTAAGTATTCTACACATAATGAAATGTGCAGAGACCTGGAATCGGAACACCAAAAGCTTCACTGCAGTAGTTGGGGAAATCAGGGTTCCAGGAGTTGATGGCATGCCCTTGGAGATGTTTCCATAAAACAAAAATGGCACCTCTCAGACTTTGGACGTGTTATCAGGAGGGACCAGTCCCTGAAGAAGGATATCATGCCTGGTAAAGTGGTTGTTGTTGTTGTTGTTAGGTGCTGTCGAGTTGTCTCCGACTCATAGCGACCCTATGCACAGCACAACAAAACACTGCCCAGTCCCCCACCAGCTCTGCAATCTCTGCTACACTTGAGCCCATCATCACAGCCACTGTGTCAATCAATCTCATTGAAGCCCTTCCCCTCTTTCATCGACCCTCCACCTTACCAAGCATGACATCTTCTCCAGGGAATGGTCCCTTCTCACAACACTACCAAAGTAGGTGAGATGAAGTCTGGCCATTTTCACGTCCAAGGTGCATTCCAGCTGCACTTCCTCCAAGACAGATTTGTTAGTTCTTTTAGCAGTCCACGGTACTTTCAGCATTCTTCGCCAGCACCACAACTCAAAAGCATCAACTCTTCTTCGGTCTTCCTTATTCATT